GAAGATTTTCATATTTTCTATTATTTTTAAAAGATTCGTTAATTACGGAATTATTGAAAATAATTGTAACAATATTACCTCAGTTTTAGAAAGCTTTACGCTAGTATAGAATTCCCTTTCAAATCTCCTTTATTATTTCTTTATTCTCTCTCCCCTTTGACCTTTACTCTCCCATAACTCTCCCATATTATTATTTCTTTTCAAGTAAACACAATTTCCGTAAAAATTGGCATAGGTCTTAGATACCTCTCTTTTCTTCTTAATATTTTCTTTATCAGTTTATACCCTCTTCTAACCCAGGTTCTCGTTTGTAAGCTAATTTAACGATTAGTGAATAAACTTGTAACAGTATATAGTATCATGCTTCCAGTGTACTGCATCAGCGATTGATTTGGTTGATGTCCCGCTTCTGAGCATCATGTAAACTAGCTCTTTTTGTTTTGTATTGAGAAGCTGATGTTAATGGAGACAGTGAACTTGTGATGAAAAAAAAAGTTCGTGATTGTGAAAGATTGTACCATCCAAACGCCAGCATCCTCATTCAAAACAGCCCATAAAATGACAGAACAGTTTTGACATTTTGTAAATTTTTTTCTTTTTCGAGTTTCTTCAGTAATCTCGTGATTATTTCTATATTCGTCTCCCATTGTGCACTACAAGGTAACAAAAGAAGTGCGATTGACTTTGTCAACACGCGACATTTTTGATGATGATACACTAAAAGCAAAGCCAGCTGCCTTAGCATCTTGTTGTGCGACTTCCTTGAAACTTTTGACCGTTAGAAATTCACTGCTGATTGCTGGAATTTGTGGTTGTGACATGACTGCACTGGTATTGTTGATGGATTTAACTTTTTTTCTTGCAAAAATTGATCACTTGATATGAACTAATTAAATTATTTTGTATTTTATAGTATCATGTTGGTATCCGTTTTTCTATGTTTATAAGACAACACAATGTAATATAATTGATCTTTAAAGGAAATTGTATAGAAATTTTATTTGACAGCAAATAAAGACTTTTTTATTGCACATGGTATTTAGAACATTCTTTTCTAATTCTCTCAGTATTGTTACCATAGTAACAAGAAATTCTTTAATTCCATAATTTCTTTTAATTTTTACATAAATATCTTGTTTATTTTTATTTTTTTATTTTATTACATTTTATACATAATTCGTACTTTTATTTATATTAAAAATGTTAGAAACATTTTAGAACATTC